ACGAAGTGGCTGAACTAGGAAACCCAAGCATGCCTGCGCCGGGAGGTGTTAAGGCTGAAAATAACAGAGAGATGCCCAAGGTCAATTCATGACAACACCAAAAGCCTGCACACTTAACACCTAAACAGAACCGGACATTAAGAGGACTCGTAGCACAAGCATGAAAACCCATGGTCACCAGCTAGTTTAGGGCTCACCTGTGATTATGGTATTCTTCTCATTAATTTTAACTCCTACCATAACTCCATAGAAGATGGGCTACATACCTTACCAGAATTTTATTCAGAATATAAGAGATTCCCATATAATAAAAATTATAACACAAGGGCATGATGGTAAACAACAATACCTACTACTAAAGGAGGCACGTTACAAGATGGCTGTTCTATGACTCATTTTAACCAGTTTTTTTGCTATAGCTATGGGATGGGAGACTCATTCCATCCTTCATTTGAAAGGCCCTACAGTTATCATGTTCACTAAAGTAATTAGCTACTAAATAACACGAAAACCCTCTGTCTACATATAATGCGCTCACATAGACTGAAGAGAAAATAACCTAGATAACAACAGTAAGAAACCATCAAATCCCCAATGAAATCAAACTGCAGTGAAGACACAGCTGAATCTGTCCAGAGCTGAGCACACTGAACCACAATTTCACTTTTAAGGTGTAACTTGAGTTATTCTTTACTTCCCCCAAATTTGAACTAATGGAATCCCCCAATAAAAGCTTCGGTTTGACCACTCCCCAAAGCATGAGTCATCCATGCTTGCTTGTAATGTGGGAAACTGCTTGTCACCCATTTCAGAGGGGGAAACTGGTGCTGAGCAGGCAGTGTATAGGCATGGAGGGTGAATGTGCCGTGGACTTCACTGGGTCTGGGGGCTCTCAGTGAAACACAATAGCAGGTAACTACCTAGGACAAAGCCTTCCTTACCAGATAGATAACCATCTGGGGAACTGAAAGGGACTGTAAGGTTGAAAGGGGATTGGAAAAGCCTGTGATTTTACAGATAGTGTTTTTAAGAGCAAATGATGAAGACTGGGGAAGGAATCCTCACCATCTTCAAGGGAGATTTGTTACTTTGTATTTGAACTAGGGGAGTTTGCCAAGGGGGCAGGACAAGGATTGTGCTGGAGGCTCCATGATCTGATAGAATCAATCCATTGTGAAGAAAATGCAGTTGACAATGCATAGCTGTACAGGCAGTGGTCCTAAGATTTAGAATTACAGTCTCACCTCCAGTCCAAATGCAATATTTATGTGTTAAGAAGTAAGATAAACAAAAGTGCACAAGAAATTTCTCATTTCTGTTCATCAGAAAAAAAAAAAAAAACTAGTTTCTTTGCTGAACTTTAACCAGCCAAGAATGTATTTATAGGTTTCCCATTCAGTCACACGCACTGGCTCCAATGCCAGGGATTCAACCAAACTTTGTTCAAACATATTTTTTAATTGCATCTATAATAACCTGTGTAGATTTCTTTGTTCTGTCATTTCCCCTTAAACAACATAATATCAAAACTATTTGTAAAGTATTTACATTGTATTATTTACTACAGGTAATACTGGGATAATTTAAAGGATAAGAAAGGGGATTACATAGTTGAATACAAGTACTGTAGCATACCATATGAGGGTACAGGGGATCTGTGATTTTGGTATCTGTGTGTGTGTGTGTGTGTGTGTGTGTGTGTGTGTGTGTGTGTGTGTGTGTGTGCAAGTGTGATTGATGAGTATCACTCTCTCCTTGATCATTCTCACAATCATACTGTTTTAGTCTCACTCCTGGAGGCTTCTCATTTTTACCTTCCCATACCCATCCCTTCTCAGACCTGCTTGTGGACAGCTTCTGTACTCATAACCATGATCATCTTAAGGAGCTTCCATCATGTTAAAATGCAGCCTCCCGCCAGGGGGTGGTGGTGTACACCTTTAATCCCAGCACTAGGGAGGCAGAGGCAGGCTGATCTCTTTGAGTTTGAGGACACCCTGGTCTACAGAATGAATTCCAGGACAGGTTCCAAAGCTACACAGAGAAATGCTGTCTTGAAAAACAAAAAGAAACAAACAAACAAAAGAAGCCTCCTAATGTCCTTGATGACTAGGGAGAATACATGCTGAACATTGCAGTTTTATGAATAAGGTATGAAATACTTCACATCTACAGTCAGGAGAGACTGGATTTTACAGCTGCCATTCAAGGCTTATCTTCTGGTCACCCCGATTAAATTCTTATCTTTAAAATATTTTAAAATTCCTTGAAAATAACTGACATCAAGTGATATCAAGTGCCCAGATTCTGCTGAAGACTGGCTCACCCATTCAAAATGAATTTACAATGAAAATGGATTAAACTTTGTAGGATGGAGATGGGGTTGAGTGGGGAACCTTCTCATTCACTATTCCTTAATCCAACTTGCTATGGCAGCACCAAGGAAAGAAACCAAATTGCTGTTGGAGGTGAAGTCCTTCTCTCTTAACTTACTACATTATATCTGGTATCTTCTTGTTCTTCTGAATTTCTTATTTATTGATTACTTATTATAATGAGAGAGCAATGGAGGAGTTACTCTTACTAAATTATGTTTGTCTTATGGTACCTGGAATCAAACCCTAGGCCTTAAACATGACAGGCATGACCTGTACCATTGAACTACATGCCCAGCTTTGGTTCATTTTTGACCTTCATTTCTCTTCTATTGTCCTGGTTTCTTGGTATTCTTGATGTTCATCCCTCCATATGTTAACATCTAACTGCAAAATTTCAAGCTTGAGTGATTCAGGCGGTGACACGACTTAGGGTAGAAGAGCTGACTTCATGTTGCTTCAATGATAAAACAGCAGAAGCCAGCTTAGTTTCTCATTCACCTGCCATTCTTACATTGAGGTCAAGTACAAGGGTACATGCTCATGTACAGCAACTGCACATCCTTCCACTTAGAAATTCCCCATCTTCAATCTGAGGAAAGAACTAGATTGACTGCTTCTCTCATGTGAGAACACAAGAACCATATTAGGGATCTAAGAGACATGAATAACAGCACTTGTAGTTGGATCAATAATTGTCAACCCCAGATTTCCCATTAGATGGCATTCCCATGGTCCAATCTATAGGTCATAATGAAATAAAAGGGTATCTTACAAAGCTGCTGGAAGAATCTTACTGGACAGTCAGAGATAGGAATGTGTTTCAGGAATTTAATATCTTAATAAATAAGCTGGCACAATGAGTACATTCAGTCAAAATTTTAGAAAAAGTAAACACAATTTAAAAGTGGCAAATTTCCCAGTAAGTGCTATGTCTGTAAAAAAAATTATAGTCAAAAGGTCAGTAGCCACATGCCAAAAACAGAAGACATACAAAGAAAGCTGAATAATAACCAAGATATAGCATAAGTTGTGGTAGCTCAAAACTAAAACCAACTGGAGATAGAATTCAGTATATCTAGAATTCAAGGACCATATTTTTATGTTCCTTGTAATAACAGTAGATTCATCATTATTTTGCATACCCTACTGTAATTTTTAGAAATTTCATTTGAGAGATTTAAAAAGTTCACTTCAAATAATCTTATTCTATTATCATTTTCTTTTGGTTTTCCCGAAATAATCGTCTATTATTTCTTCTTAACAATTCTTCCAAAAGAAAATGCCTGCCTCACTGGGAGGTAGTGGTGCACACCTTTAATCCAAGCATTCAAATCCCTGGGAGTTCCAGACCAGCCTGGTCTACAGAGTTCCAGGACAGCCAAGGAAACAAACAAAAACAAAACAACAACAACAGAAAGCCTGCCTAACATGAACTTAAATTCAGTCCTTCTACTTAGAGGGAAATTTCATTTTTGAGATGAAATTAAAGTAATTAAATACACAGGGCAAGAGATAATTTTGTCAAAATTATTATGGTGTTACAGTTACTTAGATACACACTAAATATGCAAGTATATTAAAACAAAGCATGTGAAGAATGCAAAGGTATGCTCTGAATTTCCATTTGGAAGCTAAAAGTATGGCTCAATGCTAAAGGTCTTGGCACAATGCCTGAGGCCCTGGGTTCTATCTTTAATGCTTCAAAAATAAGATGCTAAAGTTAAGGAAACTGGGTTAGTTAGTATTTCTAAACACTAATAGAATATTTAATCAGTCATTGCTTAAAAATGATAAGTTAGAAACAGAAAGTCAAGTAATTTTCTAGCATTTTGGGCAAAGTGAAACCAATTGCCTAAAGAATAAAATGCAAGCTTAAAGTTTTTAATATTTTTCAGGATATTATATAACTAAACATGCAATATTTTACTCTCATTTTCTCACTCTGAATTTCATCACAAGAGCAACACATTATAAAAGTGTGAAAAATTTTAAACTGACAATAATTCATTTTTTTTTTAAATGAAGAACAATGCTTTTACTGGCACAGCACTGGGGACACACAATAGGTGCTTCCCTTATAAGACCACCTACTATAGTTAGAAAGACTACAAATTACTAGAAGATAACTTGAAAGGAAAGGTAATTCTATGGTTATTGGGGAATAATAGTTGTCATCCAAAAAAAGAAAATGAATGTTTAAATTTGAAAACATAGAGGTTGATAAATAGAACTCAGAATGTATTTGCAGGTAACCAAATATGAAGGTGGAACCTTGGGACAAAGTCATTCATTTATCAAATGGCTCATATTGACTGGACTATGTTTTAGTATTTGGATAAAAAGCTTCAAACCCCTCTTCAAAAGGATGTTGTTTTAAAATTAATTTAGTTTTCCATAACTAAATCTTGTTAGGATGGGTCCAATATAAAAGTGCCATATTTTCTACAGTATAGCCATACAGTTAACAAAGTGTAACAAGAGCCCAAAAGCTTATAAGTAGTAAAGACATAACCATTTGTTTGTTGATGAGTATCTAGGCTGATTCCAGACCTAGGCTTCTGTGTCTGTTGGGAATTTATCTAGGAGTAGTATAGGTCAGTAGTATAGTAGTAGGTCACAGAGTGCATCTACTTTTAGGTTTTTGATAGTCCTCTACACTGACTTCCATATTGTCTGTACTCATTTACATTCCTACCAGCAGTGTAGATAGGTTACTACCCATAATGTCTGTATAAAGGTGTCCTTCTCTTGCCATTCTGGCCAGCAATGCTTTTAGTATTATTTAGGATTGCCATTCTGGCGGAGGTGAGATACATTTCAATGTAGCTTTGATTTGAAAGATGAACAAATGGAGAAAATGTAACACACACACACACACACACACACACACACAAACACACACGCACACACACACACGCACACGCACGCACGCACGCACGCATTGAGTTTGGTTTAGTCATAAAGAAGAATGAAATTAAGGCTTTTCCTGGGAAATGAAAACAACTGAGGTCATCATAGTAAGAAAAATAAGCCAGACTCAGAAAGACAATTTTTTTTTTTTAGAATATCCTAGGTTTCATGGAGAGCCACATAACCACATATATATATACTGAGGTGTTTGTGTGTGTGTGTGTGTGTGTGTGTGTGTGTGTGTGTGTG